TTGCACTAAATAACAAAAGTGTAACAATGTAGTCAATAATTTGGCCAAAATTTTGTCAAAATTTGTACTACAGAATTATAGATCTTTACCAAAAAAATGAAATGATCTGCATTACACAAGTTTGAAAAATCCCTAACTGTATTATACATTATGCAACACGAAGCTTGACAACTTTTAAGAAACTTAACTAAAAAATTATTTATAGAGGTTAATATTGTCTGAAATGAGTAAGATAGTTAGAAAAAGAACTGAAAGCGCATCGTGGCCACAGTTTGCGAAAGTTGCCAGTATATGGTGGACGGCCTACTATGAACATCCTTCTTTTTCTAACTAACTGAAAGCTTTCTTATGTGAAAATTTAACGAGCTCATAGGTAGAAAATTGCACCTCGTCTTGAAGAAAAAAAAGAGAAAATGTAAAACAAGAAGAAAAAGAAGAAGAAATAAGAAAAAATAAGAAAAAATAGAAAGAAATAAGAAGAAAAGAAGATAGAAATTATGAAGATGATGAAGACGAAAACTCTAGACGGGGGCGTGTAATTTACCCTATGAGATCTTCTGAATAGGGACCGCTGATTCTAGAAGAGGGTTGGCTACGTTTTCTATGATAATGAATGTCTTTTGCTTACCGCGATGTCCTCTTCATACAGTATTATTATAGGTATCTAGTGAAATTAAGACGATTTATACGGACGAAGTTGAATTTATTCCAAAGATCATACTTTGCTTAGAAGATAAAATACGATATCAAATATACAGTTTGCTGATTAAAAAAAGGTACTGGGGAAATATTTTAAGGATATTAAACTAAAGGTTGTTTTACTATACTATATTTATTATCACTGCTCAATTTTAATAGATATAAACTATTAGTGATACGAAATTTGAATTTAGATTTTAATTCATATAGATATGTTAACCGATTGTGAATATTTGTTTGGGTTATAAATATTATATATGTATAGACAATTTAGGTTTAATAGCTTTTTTTTTTTTTATGTTCTACATGTATTTATATATCTTATATAACTGTATAATATAGAAATTTTAATAAAACGTATTTATCGATTTATAGATTTCTTGTCTGTTTTTTTTAGTATATTTATTTTATTATACAAAATTTTATATCTCCAATTAATAAGATTTGTATTCCACTTATGTACATTAAAAAATTTTTTTTAATAAATCAACTTTAGCTCGTAGAATTAAACATAATATTTAAAGATGATAAGTATTGTGTATGAAAGATTCAAAAAAATAGATAATGTCTATGAACCCTGAGTAATTCGAATTAGCAAAATTAAAATTTTTTAATTGATTAGTTACTTTACTAGATAGCTGCATGATGTTATCGCGCAAAACCAGAAACAGAAAATCTAAAACAAGAAAACATCTAGATAAAATATAAGAATTTGTGTCTAACCGATTACTTTATCCTTCAACTGATTACTTTTTAATCAATCAATGTGTTTATTTATGCTGATTTTTATCGGTATGCGATATATCTGTCAAGTAATTATCTAACAAAAAAAATTAATATTTAATCAAAATATAAAGACCTACAAAAATTACTCGAGTCAAAACCTGACTTGTTGAATCTAC